TAACTGTAAATACAGAACCTTCCCTGGGAGGTCCCCTCACCACGTACAGGAATCCATGTCGAGGGGTACAATGTAGAGTGGGGAAGACCCAGAAATTGGTTAAGTGGGACAGATTGTTCACAAGACACCAGTCCCTGGTCTTCTTGGGGATGACAAAAAGCCTGGAGTAAAAACCTGGAGAAGGTAAGCTGACAGGCTCGATAACATGCTGTGAAAGAAGAGTCTGAAGAGCCTTGGATAGATGCTGACTGGTAGCAGGATCCTAAGAAGGATATTGGAACTGGAAACAAAGAATGTGGGAAAAGGAATTGAAGAAAAAGTCCATCTGACAAAACCCACATGTCGGGAGTGAACTCCCACCATAGGTGAACAAAATCAGACAAATGGGCCCCGACTGGGCCAGGAGCCACCTGATAGTCACCAGAAATGTTGGCAGCGATATGTACAATGGCAAGCCAAATGATGAACTGACGGGCCCCTAGAGGAAGGAACAGGCAAAGGATGAGAGAGTGAAGGACATGAAACAGGTATTGAAGATGATATGGGAGCAGACTGAGACAGATGAACAACCAAAGAAGAAAGGGTTAAGTGTTGCCTTATAGATTCCACATGTGACTCCAAAAATTCAAGAATATCTCCAAAAACAGACCTATGGAGAAAGGAAGCCATTCTCAGATCACAAAGGTATGTGTACAGTAGATGAATCTGAGACAAGACAGCATCCCTACCAAGGAGATCCCAAAAGCAAAGAAACCACATGTGAAGAGATAGAACTGAGGAGGATAACTGCACAAACATGGAGCTAATGAGGGAACAGTTATCCTCCAAAAAACCCATAGGAGAGATGTAAGGGTAATACAAAGTCAAGACAACTGGGCATGGGATAAACATATAGTATTATCATGGTCTGCCCACATACACATTATTGTGTGAAACCAGCACAAATTCAAAACATCTGTACAATACAGCTGCCTAACACAAAGTGATGATTAGGTGGAAGCAAACAAAAGGAATCACAACCATGAGGTGAATATGTCGCACTTCTATTGGTGGACGGTTGTTACAAAATGGAGGGAAATCTATAGAGTGCGATTCGTCATTAGGTATAAACAACCAATGTCAATCTCTTCTGAAATATTCTTTTGGGCCATACAGTAACAAACAGCCCTGAAAGTACATAGAAAATGTTCTTCTGAACAACAAGGTCTGATAGGGTAAGTAATGCAACTAGACAAAGGCAATGATTACATTCTCTGATTACATACAGTCTTTAATAGGAAGGCTCTGTCACAATACAAATATAGAGCCTTCTTTAAAAACAAAAAAGGAATATGAAATACAAGAAGCATTAATGTCATAAACATCTGATCATGACCTGAAGAAATCAACATACAAAGTATGTCTTCAGGAAAAGATGGTAAACCAAACAAGTGACTAATGATTCAAAAGGAGGAGATGCAAGACATATTAAGAAAAGGCTGAAATCCTACTGAAAACACAGTATAGGTACAAAATGTAAGTGAAAGCTCAAAAAAATAGTGGGAATGAGAGAGAGGTCAATGACTTCTGTGGCATTCAAAGGTGGCAGAGAGAGCACCTCTATACCCTGCAACAGTGAAGCAGACAAGCCACAATCATAAAATAAGTACACAAAAAATGAATTAATTTGCTGAGAAGCTGGAAAAAAGACAAGAAACAGAATTTCAAAGGCACCCACTCCTGAAGATAATCCAACAAGACTGAAATATAGCCAAGGAGGAATATTTGAAAGAATTCGTCAACATTCGAATTATATGGGAAGAGAAGCCAGTTTCTCTAACAAAAGACTGTATAACAACTAGCCATGAAACTGTAGACAAATGTGTTTGTGAAAGATGGACATTTGAGGATGGTGCAGAAGATGTTTCCAAAGAGGTAACAGAATAGGATCACCTCACAATAGATGACATAGTAATGAAAAATTATGGTTGAAAGAGCAATGTAGAGCAATAGGGTAATTTTGACAATTCAAAAAGTGGCCAATACTCGAGAAATATGACAAAGAGGAAGATAGGCATAGGGGAAAGGTTATTCAAAGATTGACTAAAAATTATTCACTGCTGGAGAAGTGGGATCTGGAACTGGGGACCAGTAAAATGGAAGACAGCTGACTGTTGTAACAAAAAAACTGATCACAGGACCACCTAGCCAATAGCATAACAACTGAACAACAGAAAAGTGAAAGTTCCACTCTGTTTGAAAAAGAGAACAAACTATAAAAAAAGAAGCCATAACAATGTTCATAACACCTAGCATAAGACAAACTCGGGGATTTATATGATGTGAATTTAGCCAAAGAAGTAGAAACCACAGCA